AGGGTTTTCCCCATAGAAATCAATGAAGAGTCCCCACAAAATATGAATACAAATGTATCTGTGTGTGTTTCAGGGTTACAGGAGGTTGGAAACTGCTATAGTTAGACAGACCTTTAGTTAGACAGATCTACATTCAGCTTAACAGGTTAACTGGTTAACCCATGGGGTTGTGTTATACAGCAATATGGCAGGACAGTAAAGAAAGAAAAGAACACAGCAGGCTAATCACACACTGAAATGAAGACTCCACTTATACAGAGAGGGCATTTTTGGACTCAGCAGTACAACAGCACTGCCCTGTTGCCCTGGGACGACAAGCTAAGGGCCTCTTTTCCTGCATTCTGAGTGCGGGGAGGCAAAAAAAAAAATGTTTTTCAAAAAAACAGGAAGCGCTTGCTGCCACATCCTCTTGGCACGGCACCAAGGAGGAAACACCGGCCGCAGGTTCAAGAGCGCTCCAGGAAAATGCACAGCTCTGTGACAGTAACTGGACAAACCCTGGTTCACCACTAGCTAAAATTACCTGGGTCACCTGGTGTCTGCAGAACTGCCGTCACAGCCGGACCCCCCCTTGGATTTCTGCAGATTTATGCACAGTCAGATCACCCCCCAGATGCCTAATAGAAGTAGCCACACCAACCTGAAGAACTTCAAGAATCTACTGAAAACTGTCCTACTCACATGAATGATGATAAGGTAAGTCCAAGGACACCCTGTGGGAGTGCATAATTCTCCAGACTCCCAAAGAAATATGGATTATACTCTCACCGCCCCCCCATGCAAGAGAACTTCAAAAAGGCCCTGAATTTCAGACAAACCCTGCACATCTAAGCCACTCCCCCAGGAGTTGGGTCAATGCAAATCCTCATGGGACTCCCAGTAAACTCCAATTAAAAAGCATTTCTACGAGTAGGAAAGATGCTTTTGAAATCAGAACTTCTGATCTGTGAGCTTCACACTAAATCACCTTTGAATCTCCTGCCATCCACAAATAAGATACCATACTTTAATAGTTATACTCAAAATACATATTCTATTCACTAACAATATGACAACACAAAGACTGTCAGTGAGCCAGACCTGGGAGAGAGGATGGCAGATGGATGGACTGAATGCAGAGATTCTGGAGGAGTCCACCTCTCTGCAGCAGTCTGAAAACCCAGAGAGGTGACTTTTCTTTATTATTATTTTTTTTAAGTGGTCCTTGATCTACTTCGTTTTCTGGTACCAGGCCCATTTAATAACCAAGAGCTTCCAAATCAGCAGGCACACAAAAATGGGAGAGACATGAACTGGTAACGCAGGTCCTTCACTCCGCAGTGTGCTGTAATCAGAGTACAACTCGCTTGCCAGTTATCGTTCACCGTTAGCTCACGCATAATAAGGCTTTGTTTGGTGGCTGCGGCAGTCCTCCGTTCAGCGCCAACCCCGCCTCCCCCCCCCCCCAGACCACTCTACATTGCATTTATCGTCAGGGAGACCTCAAAAGCTTGGCTCATTTTCTATGTACCTTTACAAGACCTGATGGCAAGGGGGATGAGTGTCACCCTGAAGACCTCATGGCTGAATAGGTACATGGGGGGTGGCGGAGAGGACACAAAGACCACCCTGTCTACCACATCTGAAGTGGACTGCATTTTACACATTCCCAACCATCAGCATCACTGCAGAACATTTTCTCTGACCTTGTAGCCATACTTTAAACCCCTAAACAGGAATCACTGGGAGGTGAACACCAGCATTTTTGGACCGTGCGATTATTAGCCCTGCCTTTGTCTCTCCACAATGCTCCTGCAAGTCGTTCTGAACATCTGGTAGGACCCACATCTGCCTTCTCAGCAATCTATACCGGCTCCCCAGTGCAGAGGTGCAACGTAAGCTCATCTTCCGACACAGCGAGGGAGCTCCGGACCACGAGAAAAGAGGACTCGCACTACACCGGGGACACACTGGCCCCCATGAGAAACGAAGCAATGCGGATGATAATGAATGCATGGTTCAGGACGAGCCCGTCGCTGTGGCGCTGCTCAGACACGCTGATTGCTCTTCGAGCATGCAGGCAGCAGGGCCCCAGAAAGGAAGGTGGCTTTAATTACTCCCGAACAGCGCTGTTAATTAAAGCGGGGGGTCTCAGCAATTAGAATTTCATTAAAAGGGGGCTGTTTATTCGCCTTTCCCGGCACAGCAAACCTAAATAATAAAGGCTTTAAACTAAGCGTTAGCCGTTTCCTTGAGTTCTTACTGCCAATGTCGAGGTTGGTAAATCTCCAGCACATACAAACCAAGGTACTATTACTCACACTTACAAATGTTAAGACAAAGAACAGCATATCCTGAGATTACTGGACCACAGCTCATTTTTACTAAGACAATCTTTTCAACTGTTAATTCTAGAGGAATTATGTCACTTGAGGGCCTTATCGGGATAACCAGTGCTGAATGAGGTGAATGAAGGTCTGACTGTCACACAAATGCCATACAAAACAGACATTTATCTCCATAATCCTATCAATCAATAATGGGCTCCTCCGTATGGCTGCATTAGCCATTCTTGGCGTCAGCATAGGCGTGGGCCGGGCGCTGACACCTTGCAGGGGTGGGGATGGCCGAATCTTCTTGTAAACACAGGCTCCAAGCTCCTACATCCCCCGAAACCCTCCGTAAGGCCTGGCCCTGAGCATGACCACTCCCTGAACAGGATCTGCTGACATTGGAGGTAGGGAGGGAGGGAGTGAGACAGGGACACCAAACCTGTCTCGGCGGATTGTTTAGGCTCAGCTTTCCTAGACTTTATGGTATACATTACAAAAGCACAAACCGTCACACTGAATCACAGAGGATCACAGCTGATGAAATCTCAGAATTATACCTATTGGTCCTTGCTTAAAGTGCTCACAGAAAGTCTTGACACGCTTGCATAATTCAGTTAAAATACTGCAAATTTCTTGCTTTTATAATAAAAATTATTACTTTATTCATATGCTTATAAAAATATATCACATTTGAAACAACCAGTAGTTTTTAGTAAATCATTAATTTCATGTAGTAATAAATTGAAACACAAATTATAGCTCTAAAAGCTGTTTGAGTAAAAAAAAAAATCATTGACAAGCAGTGTCATCAGATGATTTTTAATTAGTGACACCTTTGCAATAACATACAACACCAAACATTTGTGGTTAGTGTTCATTTGGGAGTCAGTGACTACAATTGCAATTAATGATAAAATTGCAAGAACAGAACTGAATGAGTCAGTCAAAAATTATGACATTTAATAAAAAGAAGACTTTTGTTATGAAACCAATAAATTTGTAACATTTTTACTGAATTAAGTGTGAGTTTCTGTGAGCACTGTACATGCATGAAAATCCACTTAATTTTTCACTGCCCCCCTTTATACAGTCCATCCTGCTAGACACAGACACATTAATGAAGATTTTTTTTAAAAAAACCAAATCTGGTAGATAGATATTAAATGTCTTAGTGGTAAATGTTTAACACAAGTGAAAACTGCAAAGGCAAACAAAATAGCAACAAAATACCGATAGTGTTTCCTCTGGCAGGAATTATAGCTGCAAATCCTTCTAAAACGTGCAACCAGCTCTGCACACAGCTGTGCTTTCATTCTTACTGGGTCTCTTCCATGTCACTCCCAGTAGAATTGGACTTGGGATTCTGACCGGGTCATTGATTTTCTTCTTGTTAAGCTCTCGCCGACCTTGCAGTCATGGTCATTATCCTGCCGGACGGTCTGCACTCTCCCTCACAGACCATGGCACATCTTACCAGAAGGCCTACCCATAATGCTCCACATTTCCTCACCCGATCGCAACAAACATGTTCCTGACTGATTGGACTGCCCGATATCCCTCTAGCAATACCCCCCAGAACAGTTTCTCTGACCTGTGTTAACACTTCCTGTCATAATGTTTTAACATTTACCATAAAATCACATTCTGACAGGATTTCAGAATCCGATGCCTGCATTATGGTTGCACATAGAGAATTCAGACATGCTGTATGTCTTACAGTCTGGGACCCTGAAATGTTTATATGTGAACACTTATGGGGTTACATCTTCAGTCAAATTTCCCTGCCGGTACATGAAGGACAGTTGTGTACATCTGTTGTTTGGTGTTGGACGTGCTTACACATTTCCAAGATTTGCAAAAACTGGGTGAAACTACCACACTGGATTTTCACATTTTTTCCATAGACTAAAGTAAAACCAAATAAACGTCTCCTGCATTCCACAGTAGCACATAAGTCATCTGTTGGGGCAAACACTGGTCCTCTACCTCGTAAAAGCAGCCTCTTTTCAGAGGGTCTCCAACAAGTTAATTAAGAAGCGTGACGAACCGAGGGTTAAAGCCTTAAAAATGCTTGCACTGCAATTACAGCTCACAAGCAAGGGTACAGAGAAGGAATGAACATCAGATGATCTAGCCCAGCAGGCACAGGTGAACAATGGTCATGAGCCGCACATCAGGGGGGCACAGGGCTCAAGTGGCTTCAGAGCATTCTGGGAAATTAACTTATTAGCATACAGAAATATCCCGCGAATCAGACCACCCATGTCAGCGAGTCTTTGGACAAGTGACACATTGTGACAACTTCTCATTCAGACGCGTGTCACTTTGAAAAGGAAGTGGCCGTGAAAGGAGAGAGGGTGAGCTGACCATTACCTGCGGCGTCATGACCAAAAAAAACAAACAAAAAAAAAAAACAAAGCCATCCATTGATCTTCCAGTGCAGAAGCGAAGTGTCTGCGCTTCTCCCTAAAGCTTGTTAGAAGGCAACACCAATCTTATACAAGTATACTCTAATTTCTCCTTTATCAAGCACTGTCATTACCAGGCTGATTGCTAACAGGCCTGTTATTAACCTGAACCCTTCTGTGTCTGATAGGCACAGCGCAGCTCTGAGATGGGGGTAAGGAGAAGGGCAGTAGAGGACAAACTAACCCCCCACACACACCCTTGCGAGTCATGTGTACTTACAGCTCTGCCTCTCACTCTGGGCTCTTCTGCTTCTTCAGCCCGCGCTGTCTCTCTGGCTTAAAGAGGTTCTGCAAGAGAAGGAACGAGAAACTCAGGACGGAAAATAAAATCAGGCACGTTAAACGAGGCCAGCAGATGCACAAGGCACGCAGGCAGTTTCCCATAACGGGGTTCTGACAAGGGATGGCCCAGCGTGAAAAATGGCTGGATGACACGGTGATTAATGCACCAATAACATCCAAGAACAACAAAAATTTTAAAAAAAGTGTGTGTGTCGGGGGTGGTTTCTAATGAAAACCGGTCAAATCTGGGCAAATCTGGGCAAATCTCAGGCAGCCTCAGGCACCGAGGTGGCATGCATCACTTCTGAACCTGCCCTACAGCTACCAGTGGTTACCAAGACCTTGGGCTCCATCTCTGCCTCTCTAGGGATATCTGCTTAACCAGAAGGGGACACCATGATTACCCAGCAAACCCCAGCGTAGATTCAGCTCGTCCCAGACATGGCATCTGGGTCCCAGGTTGCAGGAAGCCACACTCTGCCGAGGGCTCATGCCAGGAGGAATTTCAGGCAGCAGCCAACCTGACAGAACTGCATCCTGGTAACAGATCTGTAAACACGGCGCATTTCCAGCTGCTGCTTTAGCGAGTGGCGTGACGGGGAGCGATACGCACACAAGAGTCGGCTTGTTCCATGAGGTTCGCCGTGGTCTTGAGCAATGAGCCTGGAGAAGCATCGCAGATTGAGGCACTCAATGAACTTTCAGGTTCGCTGGGTCCCCGTCACATTTTTCAATAGCAGGCAGCCTAACCGGAGCCATATAATGTTACACCAACGCTGCCAAAAACCGGTTTTATACATTTCTCTGACTTTCAGGTGTCTAAAGACCCACCCCCAAAAAAACCCACCAATATCTCCAGGAGCTCAAAAAGAAGAACAAAGAGTTGAAGGTATCAGGCATCTGGACTTTTCAGAGCCTCTGATTACCTTCAGGAATGGCAGTTCAGAGATCTCAGATGTTTACCAAGCTCTCAATTAGTGCATTTGCTCTTCAGGACAGAGCTCTTAGTTAACTGTCTTCAGTGACTCCTCACTAGTGGCTCTTTAGCTTATATGGGATGCATGAGAGCTGACACCCATCAATTAGCTGCCAAGAGTATTTATTTAAAAACAAACATAGTAAGGTGTGACTAGTTATGATGCAATATATCAGAATTCTCCAGAACTATTCAACACTAACCACAAGAACAGAAAAGGTATGAAGAAAAGTAGAACCATATTTAAATAAAACGACTTATTTGCTGAGATAAAAATGCTCTTTGACCACAATAAGAACAGGCTAGGTGACTCTTTTCAAGACTCGTCATCTCTGACTAAGTCCAGCAACACAAGCACTTCTGCTTCAATGACGGAGGTCTTCTTCCTCTTAAATTGACAGCATAACAAGTTTGAGGCTCAGAGACATTTAACTGTCATACATCCGGGGTCTCTGGAGGATAGACATTTGGGAGTGGTAGCTGGTGACTTCCTGAAAAAAGAACATGACTCTGAGGAGTGCCTTGAGGAACCAACAAGGGATTAGAGTACCATTTAGGCCTTTGTGGGCCCCCTCTGTTAAACCCATAGCACCCTGAACACTGGGAGCACATTTTACAGTTACATTCACAGCACCGCTGCCAAGGGAAAAAGTTCAGCCTCACAAGCTAGATGACTGGCCAGTGTCAGATAAATTCCTGCGTTTTTCTCCTGGATCCCATTCAGGGCTAACAGACATTATATTCCTTGGCCCACTCTCTGGTTTCATTTGTCATCCTTCCAAAGTCTTCTCAAAAGCATCTGGGCCAATCTGCTGCAGAGTGGATCAAAACTCTTCATCTTGGCTTCGAGAAGCTTACAAATAGTTTAAACTTGGTCTACAGGCAGACAGACAGACAGACATGCAGGTCTGCAGACAGACAGACAGACAGGTACCAATGCTAAACAATGCCACTGAAAAAGAACAAGCTCCCCAAGTCTCCAAACATCACCTTCTTCTACAAACTCAGCGTCAGGCAGCACCAAATTGGGGTCTCCAACGGCAAGCAGTAAAGCTGTTCGTCACCTCCGATGCTACACACTAAGCAAGGGGGCAGAGTCAAGACTGTTCTCTCTATAAATAATAATGAAGGACCTTCCCAAACATTAAAGACAACCGCCATCAATATCCGATTGTAGACTACCTGGAGGAGATGCAAGCTGAAGCTACACTGACATACTCACACTCATATACACTGAAGGGCATCTCTGCAGTGTAGGCTCCTGTCCCACCGCCCTTCAGAGAAGACAAAGCAAGTGAGGGTGACCGCGGGTTCACTTTACTCGGCATTGGCCGTGGTGGTAATGGGGAATGGGAACCGTAAATCTCAGGCTGTGCAGCTGGGCTCGCCGCTCAGGAACTGGAATGGGAGCTGGGACACGACTGCGGAGATTGCTTACCAAGATCAGGAAAGCAGTGGGGGTCTTTCTGCAGGAAGGTGGGAAGATCTTGAATAACTTTGGTAATTAATCAAATAATACACTGGAGGCAGGAAAACTATCCTCTGAACACAGGCAGACTGATATTCAAAATTAGGTTATTCAAACGGCTAATAAAGTATGCGCTTTGAGGTTTATCAAGCATTAGGAACAGAAGAAAAAAAAGTATGGCAAAAAGATGCACACTGTAACCCCAACTTTGCCTGTCTCACTGTGTAAGGCCTCACTGATTCCCCGATCATCCAGATTAAAAGCATCAGTCGAAAACAGCATGCGAAGCGGAACAAGGCAGACAGAGCCGCGGTTCCCTGTGGCCGTGGCCGTGCCCTGCCAGTCACCCCTGCTACCGTGGGCAGGCCGGCATCCGGAGGCCAGAAACAGAACAAAGTGGATTAAATTACAGGCCTGAAAAACAAAAACCACATCGTGTGAGAAGGTAAACGATAGCATGCAGGTATAAACGTTTTCGCTGCTTCCCCACCCCCACCGAATCCACCACTGCCATTAGCACGGAAAGGCCTGACAGGCACGCAAACACCTGCTGCAACTGATGAGAAACTACATCTCCCTGACCGCCTGACATCGCATGCCCCTACTCAACAGCTGCCCCCCCCCCACCCGGATGAACCTCCATCTGAATCTACATATAACAATTAGAGGGTAGTAATGACTCCTACTCAAGCACCGGAGGAAAGGTGTAATTTTATATCGAAATACCATTTAATTAAGCAGGCCTTTTTCACGGTGCTGACAGGCTTTTCTTGATCTGCATACGAGAAACATTTCAGCAAATTATAAACTTTACCTGTACCTTTACACCATATATTAAAAATATATGCCAATTTTTTTTAAATGATGCCCAACCCCTGCTGTCATTTTCACTCAGGTTGCCAGGGAGACAAGCAGGCGCTCCGTTTTGCATCGGATTCCTGGGAACCCTAGGCATGCTGGGAACTATTATATCAGGCAGTAAAAACCAGAGGCCAAGCAGCCAGGAATAAATCATTCAACACACAGGAAGCCAGCCAGGAAGAAAGGTCTGGAAAAGCACGGCTGCTCATTTGTTAGCGTGATTCATACCCAGCACCTGGGGAAGGCTGGGAATTTTCCCCGCATAGACAAACACATAAATAAGAGCGTAAATAAAAACTCGGGAGACCGAAGAGTCACCGTTTCATACAGACTTAATTGGACTGCACTTTCACAGAAGGTCATTGGCTAAATTTAGAATGGTACGCTGCCTGTCCTGACTGTTCTCATTAAGTTATCCTTTAAAAGCATAGATATCTGTGTCGGGGGGTTTCCTTGGAGGTGGTGGCGCAAAGGAGGGGGTGAGATACTTCCAATGGGTGAGGAGACCTCACTGGTGAGAAGGGCTAACGCTGTCCAGAGTCCTCAGCCCACGATCAAATATTTAGGAGGTGATTTGTGGAATTTCCCATGATCCTCTCCTCTAAGGCCAGGCAGGAAATGATTACATACAGAAAGAAGTCCATACAGCACTCAGACAGGAAGAGCTGCTAGCATTCGCCCCTGGAGTTGCCCGGGTGTCAGGAGGAGAACATGTTTAGTGGGGTAGGGTAAATTTTCTTCTTTGCTAACACTCCCCCCTACCCCCCAAGACTGCAGTGCTTCCACTGGACAGAGCAGAGTAATGGGAGCACTGGGTTGGTCTGGCAGGTGAGCACATGATACTAAGCACGATGGAAATCAGTTCTACCCCCCCCCATCCAAGTGCCTCCTGGCCACTGTGGACGCACTGTCCTTTTGTTTATAGCTTTTCCTCCTTAGTTCTCTCCCACAAAATGGACAAACTGCAGGGTTAAGCGATGCCAGTGAGCTGAAAGCCACCCCCCACCTACCCTGCCTCGGAGCTCCTGAAAAACAAGCCCCCCCACTGTTACCTTCTTAGGTTAGCAGCCCACCTAACGAGCTGGAGGGAACCCAACAGCCAAGATCAAAGTCGCCAGTCCACCTTGGGCCAGAGCTGTGGAACAATTCCCCCCTCCAGCCAACACACGGGTCAAGAAAGCGACTGCGGCCAAGCGGTGCTGCTTCTCCTCCCCGGATGTGGAAATATATGACGGGCCTGGGCTCCAGAAGGGGAATGGAATGCTAGCGATACCGAGCACAGGAACACAGCACAGGAACACAGCACAGGAACACAGCACTCCCACTATAGACACAAACAATAACAGTGACGTGCAATCCCACACCCCACTGTCAGTGTGCTGATCATCACCCCACGCGTACACGAGAGGGTGTCGGGTTGGCTTACTTTAATATAAAGCCCCGCTGATCACCTCGTTAAGGGCGTGAAGTCACACAGAAAGCCTTAACTGCCTCACACCTGTCACCCCATCACAGGATCAGCACTGTCGATCCCTTAGGAGACCACGAGGCACAGCCTGTGAGCGACCTCACCCTCTCATATCACCAGTGGACTGTGACTCAAAGGGAAGATAGAGGGGTGTGATCATCTGAGATAAACAATGTAATCGCTACAAGCAAAGGGTCGCCGCGGAGAACCCATTCAGTCACCAGCAGTTATTAACCCGGCTGACGGTCAAAGTCCGGCTGCAGGTCAGCAGCAGGGGGCGGAACTACTAGTTAACATGGAAATCAAACGATAACGAGACTCCGTTGAACACAGTAACCCCACTTTCGGGGGTGCGGTCAGTGTAGACGGGCTTGTGGATACAGCCGCAACCTTGGGTCACTGAAAAAGACACACTGGAAGAAGTTTTAAAACAGACCATATGTGCAGTGCCCACATGGCTGACCAACTTCCATGATGCCGTGTAGCCCCTGCTGCTCACCCCTGACCACTGCCCGGGGCCTCTGGAGTGCACACCAGGCCAGAAGTCCGCCTATACTGGGAGTCAGCCAATGTCCTCGATTCTACCCCCTCAAGTCAAAGGTCATCGACAGCCACACAAAGCACCCAGCAAAGTCTCCATAGGCCGAGCCAAAACGAGGTGCGGTTTTAAGGGACCAGTGCTTCATATAAGATGTGGTCAGAGCCACCACCCATAATGCCAGATTTCCAGTCCAAATAAGCTAAATTAGCAAAGAAAACAAACATGCTTTGCAGTGCAGTGCTCAGCTGCCAGATCCTTTGAAGGAGACAAAAAAAGACATGAAATGGTGACGCTAAAAGTAAAAACATTTCCAAAATCGTAGATGGGGTCTTATTTCAGAGCTCAGAAAGCTTCTCTCTCACGGAGGGGGGGGGGGGTTGCCACTATCTGTCCACATCCAGGATTCGACAACCTGGCCAACTTCAAAACTTCCACCCACTTCCAACAGGGGTCTACACCCCAAACGGGCAAGAAGACACACTTCTATTAAAAATTGCTCCCTACAAATTAGCCAGGGATCAAAGCAGAGATTGCAAGTTCCAACCATCATTTTCCCCAAATGATTTGTATGCTCTACAGTGATTTTGGGGGATTCGGGTGGAGGTGTCATTTCCAGACATGGAGGCGGGGTCTTTCCATTCTCTTAGCCAATCACGTTGCCCTTTAGAGTAAAATATTCCCCGAAAGACCAAAAAAGGCCTGTCTGATCTAGGAGCTACAAACCGCAGGAGA